GTTGACGGGGGCTCCATAGTTTTTGGGAAGATAGCTAATGGTTGCATAGCCGGCGAGGACATAGCCCTAATAGCATGACTCCTATCACAGTAAGTGACTACCCCACCCCCGATCGAGGGTGGTTGGCTGACGAACGGGCCAAAAGCGGAGGGCTGCATGATTCCAGCTTGCCGTGGAACCCCATACTGCATCTGTAGAGCATTCCAGGGCATCGCCATCGACATATTCCAGTATTGCTCCATCGGAGGAAGACAATTGTGCATCGAAGGATGCAGTGGATGTTCGGCTGGCTGAAAAGCAGCCATGCCCGGTGAGAACATCGGATTGTTATGGAGTGAGCCGCTAGGAAGTGAGACCCCTGAAGGAGTACTCTAAGGCAGAGGGATCGCTGGTACCGGCAGCGCATTCACTCCTGATGATTCTGGAGGCGGACCCAAAGGCCGTTGGTAGTGAGAAGAAGTCACACCTTGTCCGCCGCCTTGTTGACCATTGTTCCTAGACGATGAAGTAGCTTGGTTCTGCTGCTGGTTATTCCTCATACACTCCGCTTCAGAATGAAAGAACAAGCGGCATCTTCGACATTGGGGTCTCAGCTGAGGCCAACTGCTTCGAGGGAGTCGGCCTCCGAAGTGTCAATCCAAATCTTATCCTTCATTTTTGCTCGTGCAGCAATGCCGATTTCGAACTTGATGTTAACCAAAGTCGGCCGCATCCGATCTTGCTCCGGAGGGAAGGACCGCAACACTGGTCCAATTGCCTTGTTCACCTGAGCTTCCAAAAATAAGAAAGCATCTAATGGCATTTGCACCACCACAACCCAAAAGTGTTGCTCGCCTCCCCTTTGGCGTTGAGCTCGTAACTGAGCTTTGGTAAGCCAAGGTTTGAACTCAAATATATATTGAGAGGACCTTATATTTACTTCGTCTTGTCCTTTCTCAATCAGCCACCTCGCAATCTCGCTGGTGCGTGCCACGTAGGAAACTACGTTTGGACTTTCAATTTTTACTCGGCCCCGACTGAAATTTTGAGCTTTGAATGTACCATCAGAGGTCTTCTTATCTTCATAAGCCCGGACGATGTAATCCTTAACATTCTTCGAAAGGAATCTTGCTCCAACTTTGAATAGAAAGGTCACCGTATGCTCCTTCAACCAGTTGATCTTGGCTTGGTCAAGTACCACGTTGACTTTAGAGCGAGCTTCCCGCTCTTCAATCGTCATCTCTCCCGGATCGATGCCTGCAGGCATCAATCCGTCTAGGTAGCACATCCGTACAAACTCTCTGAGTCTTGTGTTATCCTCGTCTCCCCCCAAGGGGGCTTGAGGAGGAGATCTAGCCCCTATGTCTCGCGTTCCAGCTTGATCGCCATCACCTTCCATAATTACTGTTGTGTCCATAATCAATAGCTTCTTCTTGAGCTAACTAGGAGAATCAGGTTACCATAGCCAATAAACCACTCAGTCAACATACATGACCTAAACTATCTCAACCTCTAAACCTGTTGGGGCCTACCAGGTGTCAAGTTGAGGAAACCTCCATGCCTACTCCCTTCAGACATGACCTAGAGCAGTGCTAGGTGACGGTTCCTCGAAACTGCCGCGAGGGTATCTCGGCAGTACCGCCCGCAGTCAGACACTCTGTCGTTACAGACCACGCTCTTGCGTGCTCTGGTAGCCCCCGCCAGTCAGACTTCTAGCGAAGATTCACCCTCTCAGCCACAAAATTTCATTGGTAATATATTTATCTGGTTTTGGAAAAGAAACGAAAAAAAAAAGAGACCACCTGGCGCACCCCTACTCCCCCTGTTCTATCTCAGTGTCTATTTGCCCTTAGGTTTACTGTGTCCCCTGACCTTGTACCATCATTATCACAGACTGCCACAAGTGGGCGTCCACCGGACTACCGGTACGCCACCGGACCACCATTTTTTGGCCCTGCCACGACTACCGGTAGGTTACCGTCCTCCGACCTCAAGCTTCCTCCGGACGCCCAAACGCGGCACGCGGCAGGTCAATTTATGCCAAGCGAGCACGATCCTGGTCACCTTTGCGACCAGCGTCGTGCGTTCTTAGCACTAACATAGCCAAGCGGTTCTGTTGCCTCGTGAGTTTGAGTTAGTTGTTCCTCAGCATGGACATGGACACACAGCGGTAATACGGCCTGGCGCCTTGTGCGGCCGCTGTCGAAGCGGATTGTTTTCGCTGAGGACAGTAGGTGCAGCGACTGGCCCGCCCAGTCTCCCTCCCTACCCCCGTTTTCTCTGCCAGACGAGTCGTCCGACACTGTTACAACCGCTGACTATGCCTGAGGCAGGTGCCACTTGGCAGGGAGCTATGCAGGCATGGGTGTTCGTGGGGGGAGAACGCATTCGGCCCGCTCAGGGTCGTAGTTTCAATCAGATACATGCCGGCCCCCGGGGCGGAATCACGGTCAGATGCAATCAGATACACGCCGGACAGGCGGAATCGGGCCGTGCTCACACTTCGAACTTTTTCAACTCTATGGACGTAGTTCCAGTGATATACATGCCTGCTGAGGCGGAATCGCGGTCAGATGCATCTAGGAAAGAAGTCCTAATGTGAGTCTTTTTCTCCCCTCAGAAAAAGGAAAACACTGATTGGTTTTCGCAAATTCCCGAGGGCGAGAGGATTGAGACCTTGAGGAGCGCGCGCGACAGATCAGCAGAGAAAGAAGCGGAAAATAAATAAAAAGATGAAGTAGGAGTTTAGGGCCAGATCCCTCTAGCCCCTGTTGTTCATTTCTGACCGTCGATCTTTGGAATCGAGGGTGGAAAATGAATAATCCATGGTAGTGGTATCTGACCCTTAGCCCAGTCAGTAAGTAACTGACTGAAATTCCAACAGTAGATCAAGCGGTCGAATCTCCACGGCACAAAGAAAATAGAGATAGAACAAGAAGATCAAGAAGGGAGTTCGAGAAGGAGGAGAAGATGCAGGGCAGGCGTGTGTGTGTGTGATGACGTGGATGTAATGGTAAGGGGGCCAGAAGTCGTCGTCGGGGGTATGGGGTGGGGGGGTACCGACTAAACTGATTAAATTAATGTCAAGGAGGGCGGGAGTTCTGGTACGACCGGTCGGTGCTTGAGGAAACGCGGTGATCAGAGGGGACTAATTAGACTTCTCCTGACGGATAGCCTGGGGAAAAAGTGGGCGCTAAGAACTCGTCGTCGGCGGTATAGGGCGCCGATGAAGCAGAATAATATCAAGGAGGGCGGCGGGTTCGACACGATTGCTCGGTGCTCGAGGGAATGCAGTAATCGGGGGACTAATTAGACTTCTCGTTACCGATAGCCTGGGGAAAAACTGGGCGCCAGACAGAGAGCGGGGAGTATGGAAGAGCTGTGCAATTCTCATGACGGCTTGACGGCTTGACGGCTTGACAGCTTGCGATCTCGTCACTCACACGAAGAACTTGTCTACACACACACACACACACACAGAGAGAGAGAGAGAGAGAGAGAGAGAGAGAGAGAGAGAGAGAGAGAGAGAGAGAGA